CCCCCCGCGCGCCCCACCCCACATGTTCGCGTTTCCTCCCGCTGGAACCCTCCATGGGATGGACAAAAATCAGACGTTTGCTCAGCACGAGCTAGCGGAGGCGGTTGCACGGGAGGCAGAGCTGCAGCTACGGTCTCAAGCGGAGCAGGTAAATTTCGACGTGTTTGCAACGCCCTTCTAAATAGCTTGCCCGTGTTTCGTTTTTCCTGTTCCTCATGTCACCCCCGCGGTTCATTTGCACGCACGTCCTTTTGACTGACTGACAAGGTGGTATATTAAACGGAGGCCAGGCAGGGGAGGTTGGAAAGAAATCGGGGTGGGGCAGCGGGAAGGACTACGCAGAAATGTTTCCGGGGATTCTTATACCTCGTTGTGTCGGGCATCGTCGTGCTCTTGAGCTATAATAGTCACAAGAACGTCCGCGTGTGTTTCGGCACTCTTTTCCTTCTGGCGGTTTTGCATCGTCTCCCTCACGGTCCACGCCACAAAGAGGTGCAGAACGTACGAACACACTTCTTTGCCAACCTTGCCGGTGATGGTCAGCGTCATGATTCGTGGTTACCGTCGCTGCTGTAGGGCAACGCTCCAGACGGGGTCGGTCACAACCCCGCCCCCTTCCCTCCTCGCCTCTTCGCTGCCATTGCTCACCCTGCGCTCCCCCATATCATCGGTCTGTTGATTGAACTTCGTCACGTTCCCTTTTTCCCCCCTGCTACGCTTTCCCGCTGACCTCGACACGTGGATGGACTGCTCGTTGGTCTTGCTCGGCTGCGCGGTACTGGCCTCGCAACAACATCAACATCGACAACAACATCGACAACGACAACGGCAACGGAACAAAAAAGGCCGAACAAGAGCGGCTGTTGCAAGCGAAGGAGGTGGCCTTGTCGCGGGTCCGCGAGATCGAGACGCAGGCGGAAAGGCTTCGAAAGGAGCTGTCCGAGGTGGAGGAGAAGGAGAAAGACGCCTCCGCCCTTAAGGCCACCAGCACCGGTAAGGGGGGTCGTGGAATTCGTTTGGTGCTTGCCCCTTCTGTCGGTTGTTGCACGCGGAGACGTCGAGGAACTGCTTGTCGCTGGTTTTGTCGCAAAGCGCACCGTGTTTTCGCGCCGCCACCCTCGGCCTGCAGCGGCCGGAAAACCTTTTTTTGTTGTTGAATTTTTTGCGAAAAAGAGAACGTGTTGCAAATTCGACTGCGCGGACTCCTGCTCACGTTTTTGCTCGTCTCGGCATGCTTTTTCTATTCTCGGCACTCTTGCACGCACGCGGTCGCGCAATGGGGCTTGATCTACCACCGCCATCGTGCAAAAATGCTGCCATGAATTTTGTAGCCACACCTGCTCCAACCTCTGATGAGACGAGCCAGCCCCACCTCGACCTTGTCGCCAGCCCGCCCGCCTGGCTGCCCAATCACCGTTGTGAATGCATCAATGGCGTCGCCTTGCTTCGTTTCGCCGCCAGCCCTTGCTGAGCACCTCGGCATGCGAGGCGTCCAAAACTTTGTCTTCCGGGATGCCGTGAACCAGCTGGAGGCAAACGTTGCCAGGTCAGAGCGTAGTTGAAAAGGGGTGGGTAGACTGTAGGATTGGCGTGGCTCTGCGATGGGGCGGGCGGCGGCTCAGAAAGCCGGGGATTCGAGGGGAGAGAGGGCGGGGGGTTGGGGGGCGGCGATTGTGTCATTGTCGCGAAGAAATTGTCTGCGCGAGACAGCGTGCAGTCAATTCCGACACACCTTGGTGTATGATGTAGCGAGTGAGGGGGGGCGGCAAATGGGGTTTCTTACAGTTGTTTTCGAGAGGTGATGTGTAAGTTGTGACCCATATGTACCTGCTGGGATTTCTTCGTTTTTTCCTGTGCCCTTGTTGTTGGTCGATATCTCAGCGCCCCTGTTCGAATGGCCGATTGCTCACCCCACGGCAATACCGTGCAGGAGAATGTCGTGACTTCTCTCGTAAATGTGTGTAGTAATAGATGGGATACCCCCGCTGCGCGGGACGTCCGAGCTGCGTCGTTAGGCCCGCTGGCGAATGGAGAGGCAGACGCTGCTGACGAGAAATCTCTCTGGGCGAGAAATAGAGCCGAGTTTTCGTTGCATGCATCCGGTGGTCTCCTGTCTCGTTGCGCGGGATTCGGCGCTCTCTTGCAGATACAGATTGTCAGCAAACACAAAATCGGAGGCAGCTTAGCATCAAACCAAGCGTCCTCACTTTTTGGATGCTGCACAGTGTTTCTCGTCCCACTTTCTTTTCTTCGCTTTCGTACGCGTCGGTCAGTCATGTGAAGAGCGCATGTGTGTGGATCGCTCGCACTAAAACCATAAACAAACAACACTCACGGGCTGGGCTATTAACGAAACCCTTGCAAATATGACAAAAACAGGTACCTCGACGCGCTGTCGGACGGTGCCCTGCAGCTCCGCCTGTCCATGGAGGGCGACCGGGTCGTGAAGAGGGCCAGCGTCAGAGCCGCCGACGGCCGCTTCCGCGACCGTTCCCTGTCGCAGCTGTCCGGGGGCCAGTGGAGGCGGGCGAGCCTGGCCCTGGAGCTGGCCTTCATCGAGCTGGCGCGGCAGAGGGGGCGGTTCTCGTGCAACCTCTTGGTCCTCGACGAGGTGCTGAGCCAGCTCGATTCGTACGGCAGGGAGCGGGTGAGTTGAGGAGGGGTTTTTCTTGTGCGGGGGGGGCTGTGCGGGTTGATTGGAAGCCTCGTGGAGGGGAGGGAGGGGGATCGACGATGGGGGGGGGTTGACTTTGTAGCCGGTGTTTTCCCTGTTCTTCTGTGCTTCGTTCGCCTTCTCTATAGTTCTATGCATCTCGTCGTTTAACCTCTCCTTGTGTCCTTTCTCTGCTTGCTTCGCAGGTGGCAAGCATGCTTAGAGCCCTGACTCACGGGCGGCACGCGGGCAAAGAATCCAACTTCGGGCCCACGCACGCCATGTATTCGACCATCCTCGTCATACTACAGGTGGGTTCGTAATAAACGAGAAATCATATGAAGAGGGGGTGAAGAAGAATTAAAGGAGTGAAAGTAGTAGGCCGACAATGACCGCAATACGGCGTCGACTGGAGAAACAACAAACATCGCACGGAACAATAATATTCGAGTATCACCCCAAGTGCCGCGTTATAGCTCGAGCCCACCAACACTTACTTGTGTACTTCCACCCACATTTACCCCGTCGGCCACCATTGTGTGTGTGTGTGTTGCGTTTTTTTTTTGCAGGATCTTCCCTCGGAGGAACTACAGGAATCATTTGACGCCATCGACCAGGTGGTCAAGCACCGGGACAGCTCCTCGGTTGTTGTAGGTCCTCGGCTACAATGACGACGGGTGTCGCTAAAGTACGTTCCAAGTTTTTCTCACGCGGTTTTTGTAGCACCTTTTTTCGAAGCAGACGCCAGCATTGCCTTTTATGGATTGCGAGGTACTGTACACCAGTAGACCGGCGAGGTTGACCGAGGCAATCGAGGTGTACAGAATTTCGGGAACCGGATGGTACATGCTTTGGAACGATTTACGCCAACAAGAGAGCCCCCATTCGCGGCGATACCTCTTTCTCCGGTCGTCGTGACAAGCCCCTCCTTTTACGATCTACATGCTACTGCTGTGGTCTGTAGAACGACTACTGTGTGTTGTAGACGGTCGACTCAGGGCCGGACAGGGCTGTTTCTCCTTGCAATATTGTTCTGTGTGCTGCGTTGCGACACCAGTCTCGCAGAACGCGCGATTGTTACGTGGTCGGTCATGTGCACGACAACTGACGAACTTGCCGACAGGGATAAGGACGGGTGGTGGGTTGTAGTTAGGGCGGTTTTGTTAGTGGGTCAAGACGGGTTATGAGAAGAGAGGAGGAACGTCGTATACCTGCTCCGTGTTGGTGACTTAAACGTGTAAATATGTACTTTGATGTTGCTTATGTTCTCCCCGCAGTTTTTGTGATGGTTATAGTTCATTTTTGGCAACAAGAGTTTTCGCCGCTTGCGCGAGGGAGGTACGGAATCCTTCGGGCGACCATGATGGGTTTGAGCGACGCCGATGGTTGCGATGGAAAAAATAGGGACAGAACACCCACCGGCTTGGGCAGTACATCCTCTTTGGCTAATATTTGTGTGTGTTGTGTCTTGCTTCTTACCACGTGGTCAGAGGGGATCCCGTACGTAACAGATGAAGGCACGTACGCATCAGTTGATGTCCGCGGAATGTTGCCGCTCCTCGTAGTAAGGTGAACAACTGGGAAAGTTTAACACGTTTGATTACAACGCATCGGACGCACACACGCTGGTTCGTATAAAGGAGCGCAGCGCAAGCGTCCAGCGGCGATGTAGCCCCGACCGTACGGAGACGTCCGGTGGTCTATGGTATTCACCAGGACTCCTTCGAAGGCTATTAGTCTAGGCTGTGACATGGTTTGTGTGCATCCCAGCAAGAGAATAAGTTGGCACAGGCCCAGCTGTTGTGTGAAACAGTAGGACGCACTTGACCAAACCTCTCGTCTGTGGACTTCGTCAGTTTAAAGCACAGCCAGCTGTAACTGCGCTCAAGTTTTCTGTATTGGCATGATGCACTTCGCTTTTGCAGCGCATCTCGTCTGTAGAAAATGCTCGGGATTGAAACGACAGAGTGCAGTGGACGCGCATGCACCCATGTACAGCGGCACTACCCGACACCCAAACATCCAATCATTCGTTCGTTTGTTCACCGTTTTCGTAACTAGATCAGGCCTGCCCTCCCTCCCGTTCCTCCCTGACTAAAGCCACTTTGAAGCACCGAACACACAATTTTCTTATTGGCAAGCCCCCGTAGGAAACGGATAAGTAGCTTGGCAATGAATGTATGGCATCATGTGTACTGTCAACAGCCTGCCGACCTTTAGAGATCTTCATCCTGGCTAGAACGTTGACGGCAACCCCAATCCAATGCACAATATCACAATATGCGATATAAAAATAACTTCAACCGTCGCACGGAACAACGTATGCCCTCACAGAACACTTAATTAGTGCTCAGTATCGACCGTACTGTATCGTGTGTACCAAAGACACCAAGAACACGTGACACCGGGAACACCACACACTCTCACAATCAGGCTCCGGCGTGGCATACCCCCCCCCTCCCAAATTAAAACACGTTAAACATCCAAGACCATTACTAAAAGCGCAGTAGGGTTGGACGCCCGGCCGACGCAAGTACAAGACGACCCCATGGCAGCCAACCCCTCACACGCACGCCCACCAGGTCGGGGCCCGGATTCATCGCCTCTTCTGCACTCTCTGGTTTTGCCCGCACTTCGCTTTTGTTTGGACGTATTTTGTGGGGGGCGAAATTAAGCATGTCTCGCCGAGCACAGGGATTCAGTGTCACAGAAACAACTTTCGAGGTCGTCCAACAACATCATGCTAGCAGCACCAACTCCCAGAAACGCCAACGTCCTGCGGCGCCGAACTCCTCTCGAAGAAGAAAGGCTTCAATCAAACAGATAGCAACACCAACAAGATTCCCACCCCAAACAACAATCAATCCCGAAACCTCCGGGCGAACATCCACAGAAAACGATGTCGCACGAAGCATAAGGGACCAATCCTTCATCAGCACATACTTCGATACACCTCGCCAGAATACTTTCGTCCAGACAACATGTTCATCCACCAACATATAAAGATGCCGAGGCCCGGGCCCAAACATACGACGTGTTGAACTGGTGCGGCATTCGCACCACAATACGTCGGAACACTAGATACGGCAATAGAACCCAAACCGACAGAAAACACACGCTAGCTGTAGACCATGTGTCAAATTTTACATATTGAGAGAGGATATGTAGTACATCGAATACAGACAGTCAGGGCGCCCCCGAAACAGAAAGCAGTGGTGGTCCGGAAACAACCAAGCGGGGCTCAGATGTACCGCGGTCAAAATCCCCCTGCATGGGGGGGTTGTTGGCAAAATTGAAAACAATACCATCATGTCCCTCAAAATGCGAGCAGTGCGGGGTCTGTCCCGCGCACCACATGATAGCGCGGATGCATCTTCTCGCCACAATACGGCACTTGAGCAGTCGTAGTCTGTGGATGCCCTACTCGTGCTATGATGCTATGCTATTCGCCTACAAGCATGATAGGAGAATTTCACCTTCTCCACAAAGGCGCGGTTTATTGGCCTCCTTGGACCAACAACTTCCTTCTCAACTAGACTATTCCTGTAGATGACTCGAGGAAATCTCTATGGGCTGGTCGCAACTTGTTTTGTATGCGGTAGATGTCGACTACCGCATATATACATACGGGTGATGGGTAGACTGCGAAGGGCAGTTACAATCGTCCTGGAGAATCAACCCCCTCCGTCCCTCCAAGATAAATAACAGTCCGCCCGCACCTCGCAGCAGCAAACACCTATCATACGCGTCCCCCAGCCTCCGAAACGGGTTATCTTCCGATAAATATTGAAGAGAATGCCCGGTCGGGAGAAGCACCGTAATGAGTCCGTGTTTCACACACACACATCTCTATTCGACACAAATCCGCCATCACGCGCGCGCGCGCACAACCACTTAAGACAGCCCGCCGGCGAAGCCAAGAGGACAACAGAACAGCAACGAGACACTACCACTGTCCATCTCATCTACCCTGTCGTAGTTGCTGCGCCGTCGTCAGCTCTATTCATCTAGTACTAGTCATCGTTTTTGAAACCAGCAGGCACGAGCACTGGGGTCTCTCCTGCGCCCTCCTCCTCATCTCCTTCAACGCTGTCGTCCACCTTCGCCACCCCGCTGCTCAGGGTAAGCCCGAGCTGATCCTTGGGTAGGACGCCGCCGCCACCGCCACCGTCACCGCCACCGCTGGCCGGCTTCTCCAGAGCGAACGCCTCAAGCGCCTCCAGGAAGTCGTCAACTTTTTCGTGCTCTCCCAGCACCTTCTCCATCGTCGCGGGCGTGAGCTCGCCGCGGTCGCCGCCGCCGTAGTTCGAAGCGGGCCTCCTTCTCAGCGCGACGGCCTCGTCGCTGAAGACGTCCTGGAGGCGTTTCTTATGCTCGTCGGTGAGGCTCTCGCTCTCCTCGGGAAAGAAGTGCTTGGTCATCGCCAGAGCCGCGTCGTACCTTTTTTCGTTACGGGTTGAAGGAGGGGGGGGGGGGGGG